TCACCGTGCTGCGCAGGCAGGGCTGGGCAGGTGGAGCCGGGAACAGCTCCGGCTGTGAGCGCTCAGCACAGCTCCCCAGAGCCGTGCAGGGCCCGGGGCCGCGCTCAGCTCCTGGGGCCATCAGCCCTTCCCTTCACTTACCGACAATGGGCAATAACCCCACGCACAGGGCACTCCACATGGCCAGGCCCGCTCTGGCTCGCCTCTGCACCTTCTGTCTGCTGCACAAGAGCAGTGCCCACCCCTTCCCTGCCTGGGCCTCTGTCACTGCACTCAGGCCCAGTCCCTCCGAGTCCCTCCCTCTGGGTGTGACAACAGAGAGGGGAGAGGTGGGGGCAGGAGGAGCAGAACCTGAGSCTGTTGGTGCCCTCCTGTGTTTCTCTCATCCTGTGTGGTGCAAGAACAGAGAGTTTGGGCAGGAGACAGTGTGGTGGGCAAAAGGTGATGTGTTTCTGTGGGGCCAGCCCTGGCCTTTCTCTCAGGTGGATTTGCAGTGTGCTGCTGGGGCTTTGGAGCTGACCAGGGAGGGTGTCAACTTGTCCTTATCCTTGCCTGGATGGATAGTTGAACATTGTGCCTCGTGGAATGTTCCCAGTGTTCCCTGCTGGCCACCACACTGCAGAGCTTGTTTGGATCTCATTACCCTGAAACACCCCTGGAAGAGCAGCAGGCCCATTGCATCACTGCTTTSCTSTCAGTGCTGCGAGGAGWTGGCCCCAAAAGGGTCTAAGGAAGCCAGCAAAGGTGCTGTCAGTGCCCGGGTACTTTGAGTGCCCTAGGAAAGAAGGAGACTGAAGGAAGGCAGAGACAGACTGCAGTCAGGCATTGTGACCAGGCTGCTTTGTGCTTTGTACAACTTCTACATAAGGAAGCAATGTATTTGACATTTAGGATATGCCAGATGCCATTGTGGGGAAAGGAGCTCTGGAAGAAAAGCCAGGATCACCCAGGGATGCCTCAAATTGCTTGGGAACAGCCTTGAATCACTTTGGAATTCATCACCTCCAAATTTCATGGCTGTTGTTCCAGACGCAAGCTGGTTTGTGTTAAAGCTCAGCTGGACTTCCTTTCCCYGTGTGAACGGCACAGAAGTACCGGGCAGAGTCGTTCGGCTGCAGGGTCTGCAGGGAGAGGTAARCCTCGGACCGGGAATTGTCCCGGGAAATCGTGGCCCGACCCTTCACTGACTGATCAAAACGAAATACTGTTGGATCATAGTTAATAAAGGACACCCACTCTAAGGTGCCTCCGGGTGACTGACGGTACCASCRAATTCCATARTTCCTAAARGTGAATCCGGATCCACGGCAGGAGAGGGTCACGGAATCCCCGGTGGCTCGCAGCCCTCCGCCAGCCTCCTGCAGCCTCATCTGTGCCCAGAGCCCTGCGGAGGGAGAGCGCAGGAATCGGGCAGGG